TTGCCTTATGCTCCAAGAAGGCCTACCTTTACCATTCCAAAGAAACCTTATGAATCCCCCTTGTTACATTTTTATTGAACCTTAAAAAATTAAAGTAGAAGAGTTAAAAAAGTGAGACAAAGAACAAGTGAGTTGGGTGCCAGCCTTGGCTCTCATCTATTTGCATCTCTCTGGGAAAGGCTATTTAAGCTCTTAGGACTTTGCTTTTCTTATCTAAAATGAGGATAATAGCAATTTCCTACGTATCTTACTGTGGCGATCAAATGGACCCTATTAAATAGATGAGAAGGTACTTCAAGATAAAGCTCTCTACAAGCAAGTGAGTTCCCCTGATTAATTCATGTTTAATTTCTTCCATCAGCCAAGATACCTATTTCCAGGAAATTGAAACACAGATAGCTTTGCCAGACTTCATTTGGCTTGCAGAAGTGTGAGCAGGGCTGGCCAGAGAGCCAGCCTGCCAGACCAATGTTGCTTTGTTCCACATGCCTGCACTTAGCAGCTCTTCCAGGGAGGCTGGCAGGGCACAAAGTCCATGTAGGCAACTGGCAAGACAGGGTAAGCAAGAGATTTGATAGATCTATAGATAAAATTGGGAACTTCTAAGATTATAGTCTGTGGCTTGCCTATACTTCTCTCATTTGAAGGTCATGTTTGTGCATACTCTGTGTGTATGTGTGTGTTTCTAGCATTGTGTTTATTGGGCAGGGGCTGGGGTGTGGGAGTATAAACAGACTTCTTAATGACCTTTTCCCCAAATAAATAATCTACCCTTACCTTCTCAGGTAGAAGTTATTTTTATATGTGTGCTCATGGGTAATTGGTCCAGTTTTATTTAGAATAGAACCTTACAGTCTGGGGTGTAAACTGAGCTCTTCTGCTAAAACAGGGCTATTCGTAGCTGTGCCAGCCTGAGGCTGTCAGGACCTCCCCAACCTGGGGCCAATCCAGCTTGTTCTCCCTACGATTGTAATTTTGCCCACATTTCCATTTACTTAAATGGATCTGACAGAACTGTCAGGCTTCAGCCTCACTAACTGAGAGTGTGACACTGTCCATTCCCTTCTGGTAGCAAGCCATTTCAATCAGACGCACAGGCACGATGAAATTCTCATGCTGGCTTTATAGTTGCCAAGGCTGCAGCCAGCTCAGGCCTCCTCCTGCCAGTCTGGTCCCGGGGACCCTCATGGCGGGAGTCATGTCTGCAGAAGAGCTGACTCTGCATGCATGTTCATGCATCTGCCCATTCGTGGGCAGAAGTACCAGCAGGCTGCAGGGACCCCTGGGGCACAGCCCACCTCTCACAGACAGGTCCCAGGGAAAGAACTAAAATGGGCAGGGCTGTGTGTGCCCAGCACCTTTGCTTGGTCTCACCAATCAGAAAAATCAGGCCTCACTCTGGGGGGAGGAGGGTGAAGGCAAGGAAGAAGAGCAGGCACCTTTTGTTGGCCCTTCTGTTGCCAGAAATTCCTCTTCAGTGAGTCGAGGAAGAAATGCTTATGGGAGGAGAAAATGTTTTCCTCTGCATCATCTACTACAGCATAACAGTCTTTCTGTCCTATGGCCTCTCTCTCCAAATCCCAAATTCATCCCCTGCCCCTCTGCTGGGCATGGCATTCACATGGTATTCCGGGGAGTAAGTCGCGTGCTTGGATCTTGGCATTAGACCAAGTCTCTGGAGACACCCTCGTAGTAGTTACAAGCAAAGTGAGTGATGCGTTTACAGCTGTGGAGACTGCTCACCTCAGCAGGTCACTGTTAGCTTGAGAGGGCAGTGTTGGGTGGGCACAGCACAGGGGATCTGCCTGCTTAACAGTGTTGTTACAGTGCTAGGTGACAAGAAAGGAAGGTGTAGCTGAGCACAAGATCTCCTGCCATATGTTTGTGCAGATTATTTGAACCTTAAGGCAAGTTTTTGCGGCTCATTGGAAAGCCATGCTCACCACTGGTCTGCGTGAGCAAGCAGGATGTGATGGTTTCCCCGGTACAGTTCATCCTCCTGGTTTTGGTTCATTCTTGTCTGTGGGGATTATTCAGATTTTTAGTTTATTGTTGATTTAATCCACACCAAAACCTAACAGCTGTTCACTGCTTACTGTATGCTAGTTCTAGAAAGAACATCTTAGAGCAGGCGTCCTCAAACTACAGCCCGCGGGCCACATGCGGCCCACCGAGGACATTTATCTGGCCTGCCGGGGTGTTTTTGCCGCCGCTGCCTGTCCTGCTTAGCAGCCAACTCGTCCCGGGGCCTGAAGTCCAGCCCTCCAATGCTCTGAGGGACAGTGAACTGGCCCCCTGTTTAAAAAGTTTGAAGACCCCTGTCTTAGAGGCTTGGTGATCCCAAACTCAGACTTAGCAGCCATTGCCACACAAGGAGTAGAGCAGAGCTGTAAGGAGAGAGCTAGGTAGGCATGGGCTCAAACCCCAGGCCTGTCAGTTAGTTAACTGTAGGAAGTCATTTAGCCCCTCGACAAGCCCAGTTTCCTCATCTGTAAAGTGACCATAATAATGGCACCTGTGTCATACCATTCACACGCATGTGGATATGGACACTTGGCAGCAGAGCAGCCGTGGATAGATAGCATTCGGTAAACATGGACACAACCACGAATCTGGGTTTTCCTCTGAGTTCCCAGTGGCCAAGGTATACATTGACCTGCTGTTATCAACTTGGCTGCTTTGTCATCCCCATTGCCCACCCTGGGGTTCTCTATGTTGAAATGGGCCTCTGAGGAGCTACACTGCTAGAGCTGAGAGATTTCTTTGGTTTGTTCAGACCTGGAGCAACAAGAGAGGGAGCCGCTGCAGTCTCTTGACCTTGTCTGGCAGCCACAGGGTCATAGTCTTTTCTGTCATAGTTTGCATTAAAAACCTTTCTGAATCCCTGAACAAATTCAAAATTGTCCCGAAACTTTTCTTTTACTAATTTATCCACAGGAATTATTTTGTCAACACCTATTCTCTCAAAACCCACTGGTAGTATTTTGAAGTTCTGGGTGTATTTGTGTTCTAGCTTAGCCTGGAATTTTACTTTCTTCAAAGCAATGGAGCCAGGGAACAGCATGTCCATAAACTGACAATAGGCAGCCCCTGAGCACAACTGTTTGATCTTGGTCAGATTCAACTGCAGAGACTCATTGATCCAGGCCAGCATGTCATGTTGACTTAAATCATCACTGGTGACTGACATTGAGTATGCATTCACTGCCATCTTCAGCTCAAGATGGAACCATGTCCACTGCCCGCGCCAGGCCCAGGTTCTATCTTCGTCTCTTTCAAACTGAAATTCAGATCATGTTAAAGATATATTCACTGTATCAAGTGATCACCTGTTTGCCACCACTGTGTGACCCTCCATCTAGCATTGACTGAGAGAGAGTGCCCTGCTGGGCACCAGGACCCAGGCTTTTAACATGAGAACCATCACTGGAAAACTGGCCTATGTCTTGTCCAGTCCACATGCCACTAGAGGGTTATTCTCTAGTTCATGACCAAGTTTAATATTGATCTTATTTTATCCTTACCATCAAAATCTGATTAGGTGATCCTTTAAGCCTCTGGTGAGAAAATGGCTTTAAATATTATGTTGAGTTGCTAAATTCATTGCTATTTTTAATAAATCAAAACAGATATTAGCAGGTTCAATCTGCTGCTACAGGATTGAAAGTGATAATCCTTAATATACACATACAGATTATTTTATATCCTTCCGAGAGGAACTGTATACAGATGCCTGCATCCCTGTGTAACCTCTGCAGAAACTTGGCGTTTCAACCTAAGCTCTTATCTATGTCCTCAACCACCAGCAGTGACCAAGAGCCAAGCCTAGGCCAGTGCACCTGCAGGGGACCCTTTGCCAGCAGACATAGTTCAAGCTCCCATGTTTTAACAAAGTAGCACTTCCCTGGATGGCATGTCCTCACCTTTTGCATCTGCCCAGTAGGGAGAAATGATATTCTTTTACACCTAAAAACCTCCCAAAAAACACCCCCAGTCCCTATCTCTCGGTTGGCTTTGTTCTTCATCATTTGAAAAGGAACTGGGACCCTTGAAGACATTATGCTAAGTGAAATAAGCCCTACATAAAAGGACAGATGCTGTCTGATTCCACTTACATGAAGCACCTCAAATAGGCAGACAGGTGCCTCTAGAGACAGAAAGTAGAAGGATGGATGCCAGGGGCCCAGGAGTGGGGTGGGGGGTTTATGTTCAGGATGACAGTGATGGCTGTGTACCACTGTGAATGTACTTAATGCCACCGAACTGGGTACACTTAAAAATGGTTAAAATGGGCCAGGTGTGGTGGCTCACACATGGAATCTCTTAGCACTCTGGGAGGCTGAGGTGGGAAGATTGCTTGAGCTTAGGAGTTAAAGATCAGCCTGATCGAGAGTGAGACCACTGTCTTTACTAAAATAGAAGAAAAAGTAGCCTGACACAGTGGCATGCACCTATAGTCCTAGCTACTCTAGAGGCTAAGACAAGAGAATCGCTTGGGCCCAGGAGTTTGAGGCTGCTATGAGCTATGATGATGCCATGGCACTCTACCCAGGGCGACAGAGTGAGACTCTAGTCTCAAAAAAAAAAAAAAATGGTTAAAATGGTCAGTTTTATGTTATGTGTATTTTATCATAATTTTTATAAAAAGGAACCAGCTTGTGCATTACCATATGCTGAAGCCAGATCCAACCCTGATGTTCACCTAAAAGAGTGTGTGGGAAAATGCCTAATGCTCCATCAACATTGTCGTCAAACCTAAGTGAAGTTAGAACATAGTGTCAGCAGTTGGACTTCTTCAGATATTTCCCTTCCACCAGGGCCATTTTATAGATAACATATGTTAGGGTGACAGTGCTTTAGCGACTTTCAAGTATGTGCTAAGCCCACTATTTGTTCCTCTGGAAGGATGAATTGTTCAACGCTTTGGAACCATTTGTCCTAGAAATAGAGAGTAGGGTCAGGCCCAGTAGTCATCTTATGGCATGTTTTTGGTTTTCCAGGACAACTTCGAAAGCGTTTTCACAGTCTCCAAAGATGACAAAGCCACCATACGCAGGATCTCCTGTGAAGTACCGTGGTCCTACCCTTCCTGGCCAAGAAACACCCAAGAAGAAGGCAGAGAAAGAGAAGAGCAACAAGGAAAGGGAAGGTGCCTTGGTGCAGCAAGCCGCCGGGCCCCTCTGGGAGGAGGCCCCAGAGAAGCATGTGGTGGACAAGCATGCCAGTGAGAAGCACAGCCCCGCAGGAGGGAAGGCCGAGAGTGGTGCAGGTAGACCCCCATCCCATGCCATTCTCTCTGCTTTGGAGAGGAGTTTTTCCCTGAGGACAACTTCATCTCCTTGCACAGCTTTCTCAGGCTCTTATGTTGCTTCTGAGTCCTTCCCCCAGGTTCCTGAGGGTCCCCTGAACAAGACCAAGGGGTAACTGCACTCAAGGGTGTGGAAGCTCATGGGGGTGCTGAGTAAGGCAGGCTGCATGCAGCCAGCATCAGCACTTCCCACAGGAGAGGGGCTGCCTTTAGTCCTTCAGGCTTCCATGATGGGGTGAGTTCACCAGATGGTGGTTGCTGTGGGACTTGATAGTGACTCTACCTGTCCGCCTCACCTTCCCACTGCCCTCCACTGTGAAATGCATCCAGGGTGCTCTTGCTCTGTGGCTGATTGTGCTAGCACTGGCAGTGTCCCTGTCACCACACGGGGTTGGATTTTTCATTTCCATGTGGCACCTGCTGTGTGGGTGGAATCATTATGTTTGTTTCCCTTGATCTTTTCCTCTTGAGGCCTTGCCTCTGGTGCAGCCTTGGGGAAGCCCACCGCAGGCACGACTGATGCAGGAGAGGCTACAAAGATCCTGGCTGAAAAGAGGAGACGGGCCCGGCTGCAGAAGGAGCAGGAGGAGCAAGAAGAACGAATCAGGTATGCCGGGATCACGGTTCCCACTTGATCTCATGGAAAGACTGTGCTGCAAAGAGCAGCTCGCCCTTCTTTTTATGGTTTTGGTATTAATAAAAGCTGAACAGAAGTGTGGGGACCTGGAATGCCTAAACTGCTTGAAAGGTATTCCGGAGACTGCGTCTTCTGTTGTGTGTAATTAACAACTATAGAACATGGCTCTTTTTGGAGGACCTGAAAACTCACAGCTCCTGGATCTAACTACAAGCAGCTTCCCATTCTCTTCTTGGACTTAGAGACCAGACCATGGTGTGGAAGTATTGAGCTTTGTTTACAGAATGAGATTCTCCTTGGGAGGACAGACGGTTCTGATGTAGAGGCCTTGCCTCTGATTCCCAAATTATTTCTCCCTCAAATTATCCTAACTTGAGTCCCCTAGACATGGGGTGGGTACACCCTCATACTCCATGAACAATGAGAGGTGGAAGTCCCACCCTGGAGCAGGACAAAAGTTGTCATTGCACTGGTCCCTAAACTTTGAAGGGTCTCAGAATTATCCCTAGAACAAAGTGAAAATACGTGAGCCCAAGCCTTGTCCTGTTTCAGTAGCTCACCAACATTGGACAACCCGGGTGTTAGTGCCAGGGCACTTTGTCACAGTACAGACAGTCCTGCCTTTTCTCATCTTTGTGTTTAGAGAGGAGTGCAAGTTAAAGAACTAGGTAGATTTTATCATTAAATTGATTAAGGAAGCTATTAGGATAATCACAAGAGTACATTCCAGTACTGTTTGGAGAATTAACATGACAGGAAACCAAGCAATGCTATAGCACTTTAAGGTCAGCACTGAATTTAAAATAATAAATAATACAGCATTCTTGATCCTTCAGTGACCTTAGTAAATCTTTGTGGTCTCTGATCTATTCTTTAAAAGGGGATGTGAGAGTGGGTAGTGGTGCCAGGGGGTGGGGGGATTAAGGTCTTGCTCACGCCACCTCAGGACTTCTCTGATCATTTTCCAACTTCTAGCCTTTTGGTTAATATCAACAGGCTTTTTGTTGAGCAGTGCGTTTGGGCTTGTTCAGGTGGACCAAGGGTGTGTGAAGGGAGGTCGCAGGAGCTGCAAATGAATAGTAGGACCTTAAATGCCAGTTCTTGATCATTATGGACCCTGGAGATCCAGTGTAGGCTCTGAGTTGGTAACATGATTATAGCTGTGTACTTGGGAAGGTGAAGTCCTTTACCTTCCAGCTACCGCTCTCTTTCTCCCCTATTTCCTGAGAGAATTGATTGAACTTCCTGTCTTTATGTTCTTAGTTCACACTCAGTCTTCAAACCTCACACCTGGCATTCCGCTTTATTGCTGGAATCCTGATTGATTTCTTGGTTGTCTTTTGTCTCTCTTTGAGACAGAGTATTACTCTGTCACCCTGGGTAGAGTGTTGTGGCGTCACAGCTCACATCAACCTCAAACTCTTGGGCTTCAGTGATCCTCTTACCTCAGCCTCCCGAATAGCTGGGACTATAGGCTTGCACCACCATGCCCACCTAATTTTTTCTATTTTAGTAGAGACAGGGTCTCACTGTTGCTCAGGCTGATCTCAAACTCCTGAGCTCAAGCAAACCACCCACCTTGGCCTCCCAGAGTGCTGGGATTACAGACATGAGTCACCATGCCCGGCCTCTTGGTTGTCCTTGACCTCATCGAGTTTGCCCTTGCTTCTCTGGTGGACTCACTTTCACAGCTTCCTCATCCCCTTGAATGTTGCTGGGGCTCTCGGCTCTCAGTCCCTGAGCAGCTTCTCATCTGACAAGCCCTCCCTGAACAGCATTGCTCCCTCCTGCTCTGCCAGGTTCCCCACCCCCACCCACCTTGGCTACCAATGTCCTCTGGCTTTTTTTTTTTTTTTTTTTGAGACAGAGCCTCAAGCTGCCACACTGGGTAGAGTGCTGTGGCATCACAGCTCACAGCAACCTCCAACTCCTGGGCTTAAGCGATTCTCCTGCCTCCACCTCCGAAGTAGCTGGGACTACAGGCACCTGCCACAATGCCTGGCTATTTTTGGTTGCAGCCATCATTGTTGTTTGGCAGCCTCAGGCTAGATTCGAACCCGCCAGCTCAGGTGTATGTGGCTGGTACCTTAGCCACTTGAGCCACAGGCACCAAGCCTGTCCTCTGGCTTTAAAAGATTGAGCCTTGGGCAGCACCTGTGGCTCAGTGAGTAGAGTGCCAGCCCCATATACCGAGAGTGGTGGGTTCAAACCCAGCCCCAGTCAAACTGCAACAAAAAAAATAGCCGGGCATTGTGGCGGGTGCCTATAGTTCCAGCTACTCCGGAGGCTAAGCCCAAGAGCTGGAGGTTGCTGTGAGCTATGATGCCACAGCACTCTACCAAGGGCAATAAAGTGAGACTCTGTCTCTAAAAAAAAAGATTGAGCCTTTGCTGTGTTAAATTAACTCTGCCCTCATCTCCTTCCTACTTCATGTTCCCTCTGCCTTGTTTTATTATCAGTTCCCGAAGCTAATTGCAGCAGGCTTTGGAAACCTTCCATGCTTTCCAGAACAAGGGAGGCACTAAATAACATATTTGTACTGGTGACTCCTGAAACTGTGCCTTTCTCCTGGGCTCTGTCTAGGGCTCTGCTGTCTAGTACCATAGCCTGTAGGCACCTGTGGCTACCATACCAACCACATTTCAGTGGCTAGTAGCTACCGTATTGGATGGCACCAACCTATAGAACATTTTCCTCATCACAGTTCTTTTGGACAGCTCACCTAGAACCTAGAGACCATACTTCCAACTGCCTTATGTTTTCATTTGCGTGTGTCCATATGCATCTCAAATTCAGCATTTCCAAACAAGAACGTTAAAAAAAATGAATTTGGGCGGTGCCTGTAGCTCAAGGAGTGGAGCGCTGGCCCCATATACTGGAGGTGGCGGGTTTAAACCCAGCACCGGCAAAAAACTGCAAAAAAAAAAAAAAGAATTTATTTTTGGAGATGGTCTCTATTTGTCACCCAGGCTACAGTGCAGTAGCATGGTCATGGAGGCCTGGAGTTGGTCTCCTAACCAAGCCTGGAACTCACTACACCCTCAAGCTCCTGGGCTCAAGCAATCCTCCCACCTCAGCCTCTTGAGTAGCTGGGACTACAGATATGTGCTACTTTGCCAACTAATTTTTTAACTTTGTAGAGACAGGGTCTTACTATGTTGCCCAGGTTAATTTCCAACTCCAGGCCTCATGCTGTCCTCCTGGCTTGTCTTCCCTATGTGCTAGGATTCCGTGTTTGAGCCACCTTGCCCAATTCCAAAGCAGAACTTTGTATCTTTCTCCCAACTTAGTTTTCCTTTCATGATCTCTGCACTCACATCTCCCCAGGCGCCTAAGTCAAAAGGTTCAGTGCCACCTTTGGCTCTTCCCTTTCCTTCCTCCTCCATATCCCATCACTTGCCAGGTCCGTTAGCATCTCTGTTTTCTCCCTTCCCTTCCACCCCTCCTCTCCTGCCTCCATTGCCCTGACCTGGCCTCTGTCTGTGGCATCCCAAGTGATCTCCTTGCTCTAGGTCTCCTGGAACTTGTCCCCTACCCATACTGAGTCCACAGTGACCTTTCTCAAATAAGTGTGATTGTTCTGATCCTGTCCTTTAACAAACCAGAGACTTCCCTGCCCACGGCATCTGCTTAAACCCACCAGTAGGCCTTCAAGGCCCATGAACTGACCACTACCCCCCTCTTCCCCTTGCTTCCCTGCGAGTGCCGGCATACCAGTGATGTTCTTCCATCACACGGCTCCACACCTCAGAGCTTTGCTTCTGCTCTGCCCCCATGTGGACTTGTGTTCCTTCTTGCCAGGTACCTCTTCCTTTCTCAAATTGCAGGTCAAACCTTTATCCCTCTTTGTAATCTCCCTGGACTCATGCCTGGCTGAGAACTCAGCAGTCCCCACTCTGTCTCCTGACTGAGCCTAGAACTCAGCTAGACTGAGCCTAGCTGTTTGGCTGACTAACATAGATGCATTTGTTTACAAGCCTATTTTCACCTCGTTAGCACCTTAAAAAGTATTCTGGGTTCAATAAATGTATGAGAAAGGAAAAGAGGGAGGAGGAAGCCCCACTAAGAAACCATCACATTAGTAGGCTAAGCGAACACGAGGGCTAAAGTGGTATGGTGAACTCAGACCTGGGAAAGTGAGTCTGCAGACTTGCACACCTCAGAAGAAATGGATGGATTCGAAGCTGGAGCTAAGGATTCATTCTAAATCCTTGTGAGAATGATATGCCCTCTTAGAATAAGACCACTCTCATATCTGTTTTGTGCTTAGCACACAGAAATTTGGTTGCCACATGAGAGAATATAGACAAAAATAAAAACACTTGAGCCAAACCATGGAAAGTCTAATTATTGTCACTTACTGGCAAGGGAAACACCAAGTCAGGGGTGGGGGTACTGCCCAGAATAGAAAGGCTCACCAGGAATCGAGGCAAGTAGGCTCTAAGAAGAAGGCCAAAAGCTGGTCTATCCCACCCAGAACAGGGCCCAGTCCCTGGGATGTGGAGGGCCCAAAATGTAAAATGGATTCTTGGAGTTGGGACAAGAGTGTCCACCCCAGGGAAGGCACTGGCAGAAACTAGCAAGCAAGAACTCCTACTGGTATTTGAAAATAGATTATATTAAGTCATATTAAAAAACTAAAAGAGCTACTAGGGACCCACATAAAAGAATATTCCAGTAAGGCAGCCCCACAAGCAAGGTCATATAACCAGGCTAAAGCTCATATCCAAGTAAGAGTTAGCCCCAGCCCTAGCACTCAGAGATCCTCAGAGCTGCTGAGAAGCTGCAGGCTTCTCACTGGTTAAGCCTCCAGGTGACAAAATGTCTTGGTGAGAGCTAGGACAGACAGGGATTCATTTGACATGAGATAGCAGGGTACATGCAGCCCAAGGGGGAAGGGAGAGCCAGAGGGGTGGGAGGAAGCCAGGGCCACGTAGCCTGAGCTGTAGAGAGGGCCTAAAGGGAGAGATCTTTGATGCCACTGATACCTGTAAGACATGTCAAGGCTGAGGAAAGGCTGTTGATTGTGGGATTTAGAAGATGAACAGAGTTTGGAGGGAAAGTGTTGGGAAACTTTAAGGGGGTAAGCAGGTCCTGATGAAAGCTGACCATTAAGTTGTCACCTGTGGGAAGCAGGCAAAAGAAGACTGAAGCGGGTTTCTTGGGACATTTTTTAGGCCTTGGAAAGGTGCCTGTAGAAGGGCTCGACTGGCAGGGGAAGGAAGAGGAGCTAGTAGGGGAGCATGGAGCTACGGGAGGGTGTGGGATTCCTAGCACCGCTTGTGGCACTTACGATCCCTTACATTTAAGCAAAGGAAGAAAAGAGGACCTGTCTGAGCAGTAGTGCCATAGAGGAGAAATGTTTAAGAAGCTCATCTCAAGTGGCCGCAGTCTGTTCTGTAAAGTGGTTGGTGATGCTGTCAACGAAGGATGGCAAATATTGAGGAAAGATGGCAATTTGGACGTGGTCCGTAACAGATCCAGGGGGTGAGGGCTAAAAGGCTAGGATGTAGCACCTGGGGCCCAGGGGCTTATGATGGGTCTGGCTTGCTTCTACCCTTCTCTGACCAGTGCTTGACGGCCCACAAGGGACATGAGTGTTCCTGGGAGCCATCCAGGCTAGAGTTGGGCGAGAGAGTGTGACCTCTGTGACATCTCAGAAATGCTCCCGGAGGGATTAGAGGCCTGGGAGGCACTGAGAGAAGGGGGAATAGATCCAAGTCGAGTGCACAGTGTTAACCAGGTCAGGGCAGGAGAGAAGATAGAATGATGGGGTGAAAGTAGCTCAAAGAAGGTTAATATTGAAGGTTAAGTTTTTTTTTTTTCAATGAAAACTTTTAAGCATGTAAGAATAGACAAGAGAACAGTGAAACCCATATACTTGTCCACCAGATTGAACAATTCAAGCCTGAGCATGTGTCAGTGATGTGAGTGGGGTATGACAGGGCAGGACAGAAGAGGGGGTGAGACTGGGGCCAGGATATGAAGATCTTCACCAATAGCCAGGGACAGGGACAAGGGATGCATCCATTAAATGTCAAATGATGACAGTGATGCACAGTTTTCTTGTATTTTCTACATAGTCGATTAAAATGGGTGGTAGGCTTGGGTGAAAACAGAAACAAGAGTGGGGAGATTGATAGAACTGCATGTAGGCCTGGTGAACTCTGGAGGGAACTCAGTAATGACAGCAAGGGCAACAGGCAAGGCATGGCCTACAGCAGAGGATGAGTGGGGAAAATGATGAAATGCCATGTTCTGTCTGCTTCCTTATACAGAGAAAGAACGCTCATCTTTGGAAAGGGTTGCAAAGGATCCAGTTTCATATGAGAGAAGCCAGCTTTTTATTTCTGCCAGTTTTTAAATACTTTGGGGGAAGCAAAGTATAGTTAAAGGAGGGAACTTTGTAAGAGGACAAGATTTTTCATGGAGGTACTGTGGAAAGGACAAGCTGGAGCTACTGACCGTGTGAGGAAGAATTTCTGTTTGAGGTGATAATGAGAATTTTGGAGATTTAGAGGCCACAGGGATATTCCTATATGTGTGCATCTGGGGACTTCTGAAGTCCTGATGATAAAAAATGGAAGAGAGTGGATTTTCAGATCCTAAGAGGAAGGTAACAGATCCTTTATAAAGTAGTTTATGCATGAATTTATAAGCAGTGTATCCCTGGTGTATTAACTTCTCTGGGACAATTACAACTTGCTCCTTAAAAAAGGGATATTGAATAAAACAGTGCTTTGATTAACCTTTGGATAAATCTTATAAACATGTGTCCATTTTTGATAATCTTGTGTTGAATGTAGTCTTTCATTGAGGAATCTGAGAAAATGGGAGCTTCTTTCTGATGAGATCCTCTGATGCCCTTCTCCAGAATATCTGCTAATAATTTCAGATGTTTCACCGTGCTTTTAGGCAGTGTGCCCTCTACTAATGTAGAGTATCACATATTGTTAAAGTTTTGGGCTAATATCTTTAAATATCTCTTTGTCTTTTAAAATATTTCTTTGGTGATACATAGGCTGTTAGCCTCCACAATTCATGAAGCTGACCATTGGAAGGAAGGATGATCTTTTTAATTTTTGATCTTTTTATAACAGTATATATAATACCACCCCAGTAAGTCAGTGACATGTACTTCTGAGGGAAGGTATTTTCTAAAAGATACACAAAATTAAAAACTAATAACCTCAAAAAAATAAAAGATATACAGATTTATAGATGTCCCCCAGGGGATGTTGGATGTTAGAAGGAGGATTCATTTTAAATTGCAAAAAAAACTAAAAATTGAGAATTTTCTAGGACCAGGCATTCTTATGTATCATTTCATTTAATTCTCATAATAATGTCCTAGAGTAATAGTATAGCTGTTCCCATTTCTGATGCCCATTTTATGGTGCCAGTGTTGAGTGACTTTCCAAGTGTTGCTCAACAAATGGCCCAATCAATACAATTTGGGTCTTGCCTATATGTCACATTGCCAGTGATTACCAAGGAAAGTGATGTACATATATAAGCAGGGAGAACATTAGAAGTGTTAAAATGAGCCCTTAGACCTTACAGAATTTTCCTTCGCTGCTTAGAGCCCTTTATCATGAATCAGTCCTCTGTCTATGGAGGAAAATGTTTAAATAACCCTTCGTTTTCATATAGCAAAGAACAAAAGCTAAAATAAATTTTAAAGATTGCCAAGATAAATGGAAAATAGATGCCATTTGCTACATAAAAAGTCACATACCAGTTAGAACCTGAAGTGAACTTTTTGAGCTCATAATCACTGCTCGTAAATTGCTGACTGACGTATTTGTGGCCATCGAGACACTTCTCGTTTTTTTGAGCTTTAGTTGGTTTCAAATATTTATTTCTCTTAGGGTTTTTTTTTAAGAATTGTCATTAAATAAAAATGATGGGATTGGCCAAATGACCATCACGTGGTTATTTGTAGATTGACTAAGGAACATCTGTGTCTTCACTACAGTACACTTCACAAGTCAATACATCATTAGTCTTTGTCTTACAGGATTTAAAGTCAGGCCTGGTTAATGTATTTTGGTAAATATTCAGACTGCAGTGGATTTCCAGGAAGGGTGAGTTTTAGTATGTGGATCCTAATCCAAATGCATGTATTTATTAACGTGCATAGCATTACTCTCTGCTGTCAGCACACAGTTCTTTGGCAGTTTGCCTTTCAATCATGCCTTCTTCTGATAACGATTATGTTCTCCAAAGGCTGCAGAGAGAGGAATTAAAAAGAAAGGCAGAGGAAGAAAGGCTTCGCCTAGAAGAAGAAGCAGCCCGTAAGCAGGAAGAGGAAAAGAAGCGGCAGGAAGAGGAAAAGAAGCGCCAGGAAGAGGAAGAGAAAAGAAAGGCAGGCGAGGAGGCCAAGCGAAAGGCTGAGGAGGAGCTACTATTGAAAGAAAAGCAAGAACAAGAAAAGCAAGAACAAGAAAAGCAAGAAAAAGCCATGATTGAAAAGCAGGTACTGTATAAGTCCTCATGTAGACTTTCCTCATTTTTAAGGGCCTTAATTCATATTAGCTAAAATTAGTTAAATGTTAATGACTCATAATAGTTACTTGACTTTTTTTCTTAAGTTTATCAGTAGAAGTTACTTGGGATAGTTAGTCACAGTGAAGTTGGTAATGTTTGCTGTCTGTCAGTTTGGGTTTCCCCAGAGGGAGACCCTGGGATAAGAATTTGGGTGCCAGTATTTTATTTTGGGGTGGGATTCCAGGAAGCTAGCAGGGAGAAAAGCTAATGTAAGTTCATTGATGGGTGTTTTGCTGTGGACATTGGGAACTCAGTCCCATTGGGACTTTCTGAGAGACTGGATCATGCCTTAGAATTCTCTTTCTAAGGGATAAGGAAACAGGACTATTTATCTACCAACTCCTGCCACTCATCGTGGAAGGTCTCTCCTTGAGGAATTAACTCCCTACATTTTCTGGCCATATGCACATTTCACAGCCACAGAAAGACCTCGGCCACGTATGATAACTGTCTGCAGGTGATTTTCGTGGTGAACAGAGAGTGTAGGAATGAGTCCCAAATGTATCTGCTAAGTCATAGAGCAGGTTGTGTAAATCCTCACTGAGTCTTGTAGCATTAACTTTGGAGAAGATAATTAGACGAAGGAACATGTGCAAAACCCAAGTGTTTTCTCAGCTTAGAAAACCTGTGCCTTTATTGACCTATTTCTATCAGAAGGAAGCATCAGAAACAAAGGCCCGGGAGGCAGCTAAACAGATGCGTCTAGAAAGAGAACAGATCATGCTGCAGATTGAGCAGGAGCGGCTGGAGAGGAAGAAGGTAAGGGATGAGGGATCAGGAGCATTTAGGGTAAGATAGGAGCAGGATGTGAATCCAGTTCTGTTTTACAGTGATAGGGTAGAGTGCTCTTAGGATTGTCAATTAAGTCAAGTTCATTGATAGTGCTATTCAGATCTTCAATATTTTTGTTTTTTGTCATCTTGTTCTATCAGTTACTGAAAAAGAGTGTTAAAAATTCCATCTGTGATTATGGATTTGTCCATTTCTCCTTTTAGTTCTGTCAGTTTTTGTTTTACATATTTTGAAAACCTAATGTTAAATTTTGCTGTTGACCTATTTATCATGAAATACCCTTCTTTTTTTTTGCAGTTTTTGGTCAGGGCTGGGTTTGAACCCTCCACCTCTGGCATATGGGGCCAGGGCCCTACTCCTTTGAGCCACAGGCGCCGCCCCTGAAATGCCCTTCTTTATCTCTAGTAATATTTCTTATCTTAAAGTCTGCTTTGGCAGCCTTTTTATCATTAGTGTCTGCATGGTAAATCCTTTTCCATCCTTTTACTTTGAACCTCTGTTTGTTCTTTTTGAGTGTGTTTCTTGTAAACAACATATAATCAGACTCGTTACTTTAATCCCATTTGACAGTCTTTGTCTTTTAATTGGATTGTTCAGTCCATTTACACTTAATGTACTCATGGATACAGATGAATTTAGGGAAGCTGATTATAACAGTTCATTCTCACAGTGTTCTAGGCCCAGCTTAGGAGCCAGAGGCCAGTCTGTATCCTTCCCTCCTGAGCTGCACCTCAGCCTAACTTTCTGTAGGGTGGTCCTCTTTAATGATGAGTGGAGTTTTTTGATTTATAGGGAAACTAAGGATAAAGATGGGATATAAACTGAATGTTGATTCTAGTTTCATACTAGTTCACTTCTCAAGCATTGACCTTGTTCATAGGCCCAGAGCTATACATCCACAAAACTAATAGAAAGCCTGTGCTGACATTTGTCTTATGAGTTTTCTAGAAAATGTGAAGTTGCATATAGACCTAGTTGATTTTATACATTTTTGGTCTTACAGTGCTCTTTACTTGTTTTTGGTTTCCAGAGAATAGATGAAATCATGAAGAGAACAAGGAAGAGTGATGTGTCTCCAGAAGTGAAGGTAGGAATTCAGATGATCATTTTAATAGTTGATGTGCTGAATAGAAAAGAATAGCAAAATAGTCAGTGAAATTGTAGATCTTGGAGAAGAGCCAGAAAAAATGGACTCTTCTGCTTCATTTCTCTCTAGGTTAAGGAGGGAATAGGTGCCAGAAAAAAAAAGAGGAGTTTCAGAGGTAGAGTGGGTAAAAGATTATCTTAGAACAGTGGGGTGGGGATGCAGGAAGAGGCACAGTAGTCCATGAACCAAAGAGAATGGTGACATAATAACAAAGAAAACACCAGTGAAGAGTCAATTGCCACACAACGGGCACATGGTCCAGAAGGGTTCCAAATGTCCTCACTTTGAAAAAGCACTTGTTTTTCTATTTGATGTCAGCTTTCCCTCTGTTCATTCACCCTCTTATTTGTTTTCAGAAAGAGGACCCCAAAGTGGGGATTCAGCCTACTGTGTGTGTGGAAAATAAGACGAAACCTGTTGTCCCCAACAAAATAGGTGAGCATGAGGTCTTTTTCTTGATTTCTTCCTTTTAGCAACAAGGGCTCATAAAACTTCCTGCAGGAGAAAAACACCTAAGTCCTAAGAGGGCAACTGCTGGCAGGGGCCTGTACGGTTTCCTTTCCCTGGTAGTGTCTCTCCAGCACAGGGGTCTGTCAGCTTTATTTGGGAAATCCCGGGGTTCCTTGGTTACTCCAGTAATCCCCGTATGGGTGGCATGCTGTCTGCTGGTTCATGATGCTTTGCAAGAGAGCCTAACTGCTGGTCAGGTTTTATCAAGACCTGACTCTGCTCTTCTACAGAGGTTCTGCCCACCTGCTAATAATGTAATTTGTTTTCTTTTCCCCTATGTGTAAGTGATTACATAGGGTTATTTGTGGGTCTTTCTACAAAAGATGTTACATTATTAGTGAAGCAGAAGATTAAATTAATTCCCTTGATCTAAATGTCCCGTTATTTCATTATTTGGAATATTTTATGATTAACACAAGGGCCTTTGTGTTCTCAATCAGAAATCAATGGATTGAACACCTGCCAGGAAGTTAATGATGTGGGGCGTAGTGCCCCAGAAACTGTTCCCCAAGACATTTTCTCTAATGGGCTTAAACCAGTTGGGGGACTTGTTCATCTGGATGCCCTTGATGGGAAATCAAACAGTCTGGATGATTCAACTGAAGACGTTCAATCTATGGATGTGAGGTATGTCTGTTTCTTTTGTTTTTTAAGCCTCATCTCTTCTCCAAACACTGCCACTGTCTTTTATTTTATTTATTATTATTATTTATTTTTTTTTTTTTAGAGACAGAGTCTCACTTTGTAACCCTTGGTAGAGTGGCCATGGTGTCAGTTCACAGCAACCTCCAGCTCTTGGGCTTAGGCAATTCTCTTGCCTCAGCCACCCGAGTAGCTGGGACTACAGGCGCCCACTACGATGCCCTGCTATTATTTTTTGTTGTTGTTGCAGTTTGGCCAGGGCCGGGTTTGAACCCGCCACCCTTGGTATATGGGACCAACACCCTACTCACTGAGCCACAGGCACTGCCCTATTATTTTTTTTATTAAATCATAACTTTGTACATTGATGGGAGTTCAGTGTACTGCTTTGATATACAATGTGAAATGCTTACATTGAACTAAGTAACACATCCTGCCACTGTCTTTTAGTTGGTTTCTTGTTCTTTTACACACAAAAGAAAAACTCTAAAGCAGGTTTGGTTGACATTACAGTGAAGCTGTCAGTACTCTAACACCAGTGTCTTGCGTGGGGTTCTCTAGAAGCAGAGTCTGGGGCAGAGTTTCTAGGGCATGTAATTCATTAGGAGAGAACTCCCAGGAATCTTGCAGGAGAAAAGGGAAGGAGGGAAGCTCCTAAGCAAGGATGTAGCTGATCCCACAGGAGCACAGGAGGATGAGTTTCCACCAGAGACAGCTCCTCTGAGCTTTTGCAGTTCACCTATTTTTTCTAGATTCTTCTCTAAGCTCTCATCAAGGAAGAAAAGAACACACAACGAGGAGACTCCTTCCATCTCCAGGGCGAGGGGGAGAGAGAAAAAAAGACTAGGCTCAGCTGGGCAGAAGATAGATTAGTCAGGGTGGATCGGCACCCTCTCTTTAGAGAGCAAGCAGTGGGTGAGAGTCACTGCACATGACTAGGTGGGTGGTACTGGGGCCCTCCGACCTTAAGTAGGCACCTATTTCAGGTAGCTCAGCATGAACTCATCCCTGCATGATCAGATCACACTCCCAGGAGCCCTGGTAGGAGGAAAGGATTGTTCTCCCCATTTTAAAGGGAAGGAAACTGGGAGGCTGCAAGGTGGCAGCACCAGGAGCCCCAGTGTTACTTAGGGCCCTTCCTAAGCTTGCTTTGAGCTCTGAGCATTTGCTTTCCATTTGAATGTCCCATTCTGAAAGTCCTGGAGTTGCCTTGCTTCTTTATAGTAGAGCACTAATGCCTGTGGGTTTGTTTTTTTTGTTTGTTTGTTTTACTTTCACCCTTCAGGATGAGCTTGGCCATCACAGCCCTGCTCAGTCTGCAAGGGCCTTGTGTCCACCATCTGAACTCAGATTTGAACACACTCATATTTTTTACAATGTGTTACATACAAACTGACTCTAAATCCACCTCTTTAGAAAAGTAATATAACAAAATATCGCAAATTGAATTAATATATTGTGCTTCGTTCTGGTGCTCATTCTCTCTCTCTCCCTGTTTCCCTCTTTGCCTCCCTCCCTCCCTCTACCCTTTCCCTGGCCTCTGTCTCTCATCTAGTCCTGTTTCAAAAGAAGAGCTTATTTCCATCCCAGAATTTTCACCAGTGAGTGAAATGATTCCTGGAGTGTCTCTGGACCAAAATGGAACTGGTAATGCCCGAGCACTTCAAGATATCTTAGATTTCACTGGTCCCCCTACATTCCCCAAGAAATCCAGTGAAAATCTCAGCCTGGATGACTGTAACAAAAACCTTATCGAAGGATTTAACAGTCCTGGCCAAGAAACTACTCTGAACACCTTCTGTTGACAAATACAGTATCCCTTTAATGAAAGGTACAGTATTTTGATGATACTCTAAATCCTTAACTCTTTAGCTGGGATTTGTAAAGATAAGATAAATTATCACTCAGCTCTTAGATGGTCAGTTTTATTTGAAAAATGTAAACACAGATGTATTACAGCATATACTGCAGCATATAGAAGAACTGAGATGAATTTCAAGTAATTCCTTCACATGCAAGCCTTCAACGCCAGGCCCTGCCCTGCCCTGCCCCGCCCCACCACACCCCACCACGCCCCTGCTGTTTGGGGTGTGTGGATGGGAAGGTTAAAAAGCACTGGCAAGTTTTTACCTGTGCAGCAGCACCCTTTTTAGGGGCAAGAGAAGGAAGGTCTGCTGGTGTTATGAGGTGGTGTTAGTAAAATGAATCCACTCCTCGGGTTTTACCAAATGACATCGCACATTCTATCTAGATCGTTAATGTGTACTTTGAGCGTTGGGCCAAATGATTTGCTGTTCTATTGACCTGTTCTGGATGCTCTCGAAGCAGACATCTGTTCTTAGATCACAACTCAGGGCAAGAAGAACTGCGGTTGGTGCCCTGAAGGTTTCCCCCCACGTTTGGCCTTTTTCTTGCCCAACTTCTACAAACTATTCTCATTTGAGTAAGCCTGTCTGTGGCTCACATGCACTCTCAGTGCAGGTCTGTGCACGTTGTCATATACACCTCATATTTTATTTACTTCGCTTTGGGGCTTGTTTTTGAATAACGAAAACATAATTAGAATCTATCACCAAAGCTTTTCGTAACTTAATTCCAATTGCTCCTCCTGTTTTAGACTTTTGAAAACATTTTTATATTCTCAGAATTCTCTCAGCCACTTTATTTTTTTTATGATACTCCACTCCTATAACAGAAATTCGATGCCTAAGATGATTTAGTCCAACTTTTAAAATTCTCAAATGAAGACACAGGTTGGAGAGGCCACACAGCTGAGGTGACTGTGTTCTGGGTACTTAATGCTACCTGACCTTAGCTCCTGCCTGCAGACAACAAGTTTGAGACTCTGCTTCTCTTCATTCCCAGGTACATGACAGGTCACTTTTAGAGTGAACTGTATCCCTGGCTTGGAAGAGCATCTTACCTTCTCGGGCACTTAAAATACGGAATTCACCTGAGTATTCTAGTTCCCTGACATCCATATGGCTTAATATTTATTAAGGGATTTCTATTATGTTAGCATACTTTGACTTAACTAGCTTCCCTACAGTCACTTAACCTCATTATCCAATAAGGACCAGAAATTCACGAAACCTATGAGAGTGTTCATAGGTCCTCAGATTTATTCTTGCATCTCCAACTGAAAGACATGCTAACCCCCTGTGTAAAAAGATGAAAGAATCTTGGCTAAATCATTTTATCCACACTGCTTATATATTTTCATTTGTCATTATGATGTAGTCTAGTTCTCAAATTCTTCTCACTCAGTGGTGGTACCATCCCCACAAGGGGGCGTTTGGAAACGTGGTGGTGGGTTTTGTTGTCACAGTGGCTTGAGGCACTTGGAAGGCAAACCTTGAGGCGCTCAATGTCTGCAGGTTTGGGGAAAGTCCCACACGAGGAGAATGTGACCCACCTATAAGAATAGAGCCGTGCAAAATACTGTGGCACTTCCCACGACAAATACTGCGTGAGCCAAGAAAAGGTCATTGTCAATAGAGTAGAAAGTACCACAGCGTGTGATCATTTTGTGCAGTAGATGCTACACAGGGCAGAATACCTGGTGCTTTTCAGTGGTCTCATCTGGTTGTGTTTTTGACTTGACACAGGTGGTGTTTGGAGAACCCTCGCAGCTGCTGGTCGTCAGCCCTGGCTGCTGGCCATCTGAAGCTTCTGTCACCCTAAACTGCTGGGCTCCAAGTTATTAGATCAGAATGTAACCGTATTCCTAGGTAGTATGTTAAACACTGGCCACTCTTGGTAGAAACCTTGAGACTTGTTGCCTTGTTGGGCTTTAGCACAGTTGCGTTTTACAGTTCTATTTATGAGCTTCAGCCGCTGACAAAGCACTTCCTGTACTTCTCTATTATCATAGTGACCTTCCGAGTAAGCTGAGTGGTTCTGCTCAGAAATTCACTTTACAAACATTGTTATTCCCAAAGTTGGCACATGTAAACACTTAGCTGTCTTTTCCTGTTAAATAATCTAGACATTTACCCAAACTCTAGTTCAACTTATACTCAACTTGAGCTGCTTATCTCCCTGTCTTTGCTGAGAAAGAGAAGAAATTCAGGAGTCCCGCCGCCCAGCCCCCGGGTCTCTCTGTTGGAAGGTATTAGCAAGAAGCCTTTTATCATTATTGTTAAGCTTTGCCACCTGCAAAATGCATTACCCCACAGTACTCTTTGGGGGTTAAGGTAGTAAGTTTGGTTGAGTAAGGAAGTAAAAACAGTTTGTAATGCTTTCTATTCTCTTATGCATATTCTTGTGTACATGGGCAACTGAATCTAGCCAGGGCCCTTTGATCTCACACCATAAAATATCCAAACTTGTAGTCACTCCAAACCATCAAGTGGCTTTCCAACCGGATCAGTCTGAATCACTTGTCTCGTGTGTAGGCGGTTGGTTTTCATGTCCTCACCATTGTTTTTATATTGGATGTTGGGAATTTCCTTTGTTTGTTCTTGTTTGCCCAACTGTAAGAAAATCAGGCAAAAGTGAAAATCATAGTGTCTGAAACAAGGGGGCTCCAAACTGGACCCCAGATGTCACTTTATTAGACTTTAACATATAAAAATCTGAAGGGGGGACAAAATGACACCAGAATGTATGCTTCACACATTTTATGCCATATAATTGTGTGTTTTCTTAATTTTGTTTATTGTGGTGAAATGTGACTTTCAGATTAAAATAACCTTTTCTTCTTTGAAAACGTGTTGTTTTGACTTATATAATTTAGGGTTTGGAAAGCTCCACAATTCTGAGAGGGCTGCAATCAGGCAATATAAAGAAGGCTCAGTAGTAATCTTGTTCATATGCTTTGAAAGCCAGCTACACTTTAAGAACTTATTCATTATGTAAACTGTGTATGTTTGTGTATGTGTATATACTAAATAAAATATATGCCGCCAAATAATACAGTGCCATTGATCTTGAATATGGGGGGAAATCCCTTTTATGACAAGCACATAAAATATGCTAGCATGGTCTGACTTTCAAAAAAATGCCTTGTCATCTTTCTTACAGCTTTATTTTCTAAATGTCTGTTTTGTGATCTGTTGTACCTCACAGCACCATTGTGACTGCGGTGATGCCTCACTTGCATGATGTATACATCATGTTTAATGTGAAATACATTTTCATTGAAGAGTCTGATGGCTTGCTAGTGTTTTGTTTCTGTAAGCTCAGTGAAGAAAGGTGGTGCTAAAACTAAATTTTTTAAAACCCATGTGGGAAAAAAAAACCCGAGTCCTGTGTGAGTGTGGGTGTCCTTTCCCTGTCAAACTCATTATAAATTCCTGTTACTAGTGCCCAGTGGAGCCAGCTATGTAAATAAGCTTACTCAAATGGTGAACTGTCCCTGAAATGTGGTAAACTTCTGAGTACAGTTGCTGTACCGTCATACCATAGATGCAAGGACCCTCTGGCTAGCTAAGGCAGTTGGCCTTACTGTAGTCTATAAAAACCTGGCACATAGCTGTTTGGGGTGTCTTACAGGCTTGTTCACTACCTAGGAGACAGTACCAGGCCAGACCAGGAGCCAGGCGAGCAGGACTAGAATTAGGAACAGAGGGCCCGTCACTGCTTCTCTCCTCAGCTCTTCTGACAAAACTCCCGGTTAGAGGACAGAAGCAGACGCTATTTCCACATGCAGGCCTCTGACAGGGCCATTAGAAGTAACTTGTGTCATGAGCTCTGCCTATATAGTCTATATTAGTGGCCAGTCATTCCTAAGAACAGTTTCTAGTTTGGGGACATTTTTGATACTTTCTCATTTTTAATATCTTCTTTCCTGTATGTACAGGTTTCCCTGTACATACAGGGAAAATCAATATGCTTTGTAAACAAAATACATACAAATCAAATGCTTTGTAAACTAAATTTGTTTCTGGTTTTTATTATTTATTTATTTATCTTTAGGGTCTCACTGTTGCCCAAGCTGGGGTACGGGCGATGTTAGCCTAGCTCACAGCAAGCTCAAACTCTTGGACTCAAACAATCTTCCTGCCTCAGGCACCTACTACCACACCTGGCTAATTTGTCTATTTTTTGTAGAGATGGGGTCTTGCTGTGTTGCCCAGGCTGATCTCAAACTTCTGGACTCAAGTGGTCCTCCTGCTTTGGCCTCCCAAAGTGCTGAGCTTATAGACATGAGCCACTGTGCCCACCCTATAAACTAAATTTAGAAAGTAGACATAAAGAGCTGGTTTCTAGAACTATTTTCATTACATCAGGGCCCAGCACAGGGGGATCTCCACCCCTATTCCTGAGCACTGTTTGGAAAGTGCAATTATGTAAGAAAATGAAGTGAAAACTCTTAGAAACATTAGAAACAAGCTGCTTTTACCGATACTCTTATTTTCAGGAAACAACTGATAAAGTATTAGAATAATTTCACATGGGGGCCAACTATCACAAATCAATAGTTTTCTTAACACATTAGCAATAAGCAGGAAATAAATCCCCACAAAACATAAAGTTCCTAGAAATAACAAACTAGAACTTGACCAAGGAATGTTAGAATAGAGGCCAATGGAAAGACACAGAATGCCCCTGAATGGGAAAACCAAAACTTAATGTATATGACGAAAGTCAATGGTAGGTGGCACTCACATTTGTACTACTCAGCAGAATTTCTTCTTGGCAACTTGAAAATATAACGTTATGTAAGAAAATGAACACAGGCTGGGTGCAGTGACTCACACCTATAATTCTAGCACTCTGGGAGGCCAAGGCAGAAGGACTGCTTGAGCTCAGGAGTTTGAGAACAGCCTGGACAAGACAGCAAGATCCTGTCTGTAGCTGG